CTGCTGCTGCCCTGGGTCGAGGCGTGGCGGATGCCCGCCGATTGGGCGTCGCGCAGTAGGACATGGATCTCGAGGGAGGTGTTAGAGGGCATCTCGCAGGGCCCGGTCCAGGTCGTCCAGCAGCACAGGACGATTCAGAAATAGTCGATGTGCATGAGGAGGGGAGGGTCTCAGCTACTACTGTCCTCAAGTATAAGGAGGCGGTGGTCCCTTTTGTGAAGTGGTGTGCCAGAGAGGGGGTGGAGCCGTTCACCCCCGATCAGTGGGATGGCGCTATCATGGACTTCAAGAGGTTTGGGGGCTCCGAGGCTGTGGGGATGGGGGTCCTGACTAAGTCCAAGTTCACACTGCTCCTCGCGGCGGTGGAGTTCCGCTTCCCGCGCATGAAGGGGGGGCTGTGTCGAGTTAAGGCTGCCCTCAAGGGCTGGGACTATGCTCGCCAACCTCGTCGCACCGTCCACATGATTAGTAACGTGTGTGCCTGGATGTGTATTCATTTTTGCGCCAGTGGTGTGCCGCGTCTTGGGTTCGGCATTGTGATCCAGGGCAAGTTCGGGATGGGGCCGAGTGAAATGCTGGGGGTAGAGGCTGACGACGTCACCCTCCCGGAGGACTGGGGCTATCCTGGAGGCTCGGGACCTGTCGTCATCGGTTTGGGGGCCCGGGCGATGACGACAGCCAAGCGCCCGCAGTCTGTGTCGTTCCTGGAGGAGCAGGAGCCGGGCCTCGCAGAGGGCCTCAGGATTCTTCGCCGTCGCACTCCCAAGGGCCAGCGGAATTTCCCGTTCTCCCTGGCCCAGTACCGTGGCCTCATTAAGACCGTGCAGGCCTCGTGCAACCTTGACGTCGGGTGGGGGCCGCACAGCCCTCGAGCCGGTTTTGCTTCGGAGTCGACCGCCCTCGGGATCCCTTTTCGAGACCATCAGGGAGATGGGAAGATGGAGGGTCGACTCCTCGCTGCGCATCTATATCGATGTGGTTCAAGCGTCACAGGTGGGCGCAGCTCTACGCGCAGCCGATTTGCAGCCTGCCCTGGACGGGGCCGCCCGCCACTGGTGCCCTACGTTTCGCCGTGCCTTCGATGGCGGGGACCAGGGCGCCCAGCGGCGTCAAGGCGCCGCGCCGCAAGGGCGCGGCAGCGCAGGCCAGGGGCGAGGGCGCGAAGTCGGGCTCGGAGGCGGGCTCGTGGCTGGAGGTGGTCAGCCCGGGGGCCAGCTCGGCGCGGGCACCCGCCGCGCCGATGCAGCGCCGCGCGGGCGCGCCGCCCCCGCGGACCCCATTGGGGCCTGGACATGGGTGGGGCCAACTGCCCGCCAGTGCCGCCGCGGGGCGCAGCCGCGCCGCCGCCGTCGCCAGCAGCGCCGCCACTGCCGCCAGCCGCGCCCAAGGCCAGCGCGAAGATGCAGGCGGCAGCGGGGAGGTCTCTTGCCAAATCGCTTAAGTCGGGCAAGGGCGGCCAGCTCCAGTGGCTGATGAAGTGTGCGCCGTCCGGGCCCCTCCTGGGCAAGCTCGTGCTGGCCGCCGTGCTGCTGGGCATCTTGCCCGCCAGCCTCTTCCCCACCACCGCCAGGGGCCTCGTCGCCATGACCGACGTGGCGGAAGAGGTGGGGGCAGCAGCGGGGAAGATCGTGACTGCAGGAGCGACTGTGAGCACGAGCGTAGCGAAGCTCGGGTCAGCAGTGACTGATGGGTCGATCGGCCTGGTCGAGGCGGCTTGGCGCGGCGTCGACCTGATGGATGTCCACGTGCAGGGCAGCACCGGCAGGTTTTTCGTCGAGGATGAAGACGATTGGCCCGCTTTTCTCCAGGAGCCGGAGGTCCAGCGGGTCATGCAGCTTGAGCCGGAGTTTTCTGACGAGCTGGAGCGCCTCTTGCTCTTCTCCTCGGCCACTAGGCCGAGGGGTGAATTCACACACAGTGCGTTCCGCTCTCCCAACATGTACCAGTCCGTGAGTTTTTGGGTCCGCTGGCTTCCCAGCGGCCATGTCGGGATCGCCTGGAGGGTGGTCGCGATTCGTTTCCGTCCGCAGTGGGCAAACCCAGCGTGGTGGTTGCTCGGTATGGATGAGTCGGCCGAGGCGCCGACCATGGCCGAGCAGTTGAAGGTCCTGTCAGAATCTTGTTTCCCCGCGCCTGAGCTTGACCTCGGCCCCGAGGCGCTCCGTGGCGCTCCCGCCCTCCCAGGGGGCTCGACCCGCGGGTGAGCCGCGCGCTCGCGCGGGCTGCCCAGCACCTTTTCCCCTTCGGGGGCGCGTAGTGACGCGCCCGTTGGATCCGGACCGCACAGCGAATACGGGCGACGGTTTCACGGTGAATGGCACTGGCCCTAGCTTGACTGATGAGGAACCGCTCGCGGGTGCGGGTGGTGGTGAGCGTTCTTGAGCCGACCAGTCCAGCAGACCAGTCCATTTGAATCAATTCGAGTTTCAGTTTCAGGAGAGTGGAGTTTTTGAGGCCTCCGCATCAGGTGCGGCGGCCGAGGCTAGACACACGTGCAAGAAGAGTGTTGTTGATAACGCCTGAGCGGCAGCAGAAAGTGTAGCTAGTGTCTGCGCATCGTCTGTCATAGGGTGGACCCCGACACAGTGCTGAAATGGTTTAATGAGCTCGTGAATGGTAGTTTTCGGTGAGCACGTTGGGGCATGGCGAGGGAGCATAGAGGGCACCGTCGCCTCGTATGCTCAAGCACGCCCCTCCCGTGTCGCCGAGCGCAGCCTGTTTCTTTCCTGCTCCGTCCTCGTCTCCTCGCCCCTCCCTCGCGTTCTTGAGCCGACCAGTCCAGCAGACCAGTCAATTTGAAGATTCAGTTTCAGGAGAGTGGAGTGTCTGAGGCTTCCGCATCAGGTGCGGTGGCCGAGGCTAGACACACGTGCAAGAAGAGTGTTTGTTGGTGACACCTGAGCGGCAGCAACAAGTGTAGCTAGTGTCTGCGCATCGCCTGTCATAGGGCGGGCCCCGACACAATGCTGAAAGTTAACTTATGGAAAAAAGTGGCCTCGTTCCTGATTTAGGGTTCCTTAGGTCAGCGCCCCGACTTTGCGCCCCTCGAAACCCGAAGGGAACGACCAATATTCCCATCTAGGGGGGTAGATCGGCCAGTGGGGCCCAGGCCACGCCGCTGGGGATGGGGATCGGATAACCGATGCTCAGAATGGGGGGATGGTAAAAGGGATGTGTGACGAAACCTGCTTCGTGCACCTGATTTCGGTATCGCCCCAGGGCGGTTTCCTCGATGCCGCGGCGCGTCCAGCGCCGGGGGGCGCCGGGGGGGCCCTCCACATGAACGGATGAGCGAAACCTACCCTTTGCTATCTCCCCCTTTCATCCGCCCCGATCCTCCCTCCCCTCGCCCCCCCCCTTCTCCTCCCTCTCTCTGCGGCTTGAGGAATCCCATCCCTCTTTTCGTGAGCTCTTTGTCGGAGCAAATTCTGAGGGATCTGGTCAAGGGCCCGAAGCTCTCTCTGTGGGGCGGCCAGGCCTGCGGGCTCACATCCAACCGGGCGTGCCGTCTACGGTGCAGATGCGGCCCGCAGGCGCCGCGGCGCGTCCTCAAGCGCGGCAAGACCTTCGGTGGCCGTGATGCCCCTCCTCCTCGTGGTGGTGGCGGGGCAGCGGCAGGAGGGCCCAGGGCGCTGGAAGGCGTCAGGAATGAAAAGCTCGACCAACAGCTGGCCCAGCTCCAGAAGCAGCTCGACAACTGCATCAAGAAACTGGCCACGACGCCCAGCCCACATGCAGGGAAAGGGCACGGTGCAACAGGGGAACTAGGCTGATGCTGGGGACCCGCTGGCACTACAGGCGGGTGAGCTGGAACTGGCGATCAAAACATGCAGGAGCCCGCACATGAAGCAAACACGCACTCAACTTGGGGGGCAGCTCCGAGACGCGCGGAAGGAACTCGAGGCCAATAGTAGCGACATGGCGCAGTACATGGACTTTGGTCGCAAGTTCGCGCGCAAGCAGAACAGCTACAGGGTCTCAAGGCGGAGTTGGCGAACACGGCTCAGGCGATCAATGAGGCCGAGACGTTCAGGGTCGAGCTAAAGGCCAATAGAGTCGCCGTTTACCAGCAGGTGGACCAGATCTGTAACGAGATCGAAAAGTCACGGATGGCGTCGGTGGTAATTAGTGGCAGTGCCGAATTCAATTTGCCAGCGTTGATGCTCGTGGGCAAGGACGCCATCGATAATATGCTGCAGTCGGAGGCTTTCAAGGAGTTCACGGAGCGCTTCGCGACGGCGCAGGCTGCCAAAAGCAATCAAGTGCGTCGTCGTGGTCTTCTGGTTGTGGTGCCTCTGCCCCCACAGCTGATGCTAACATGGACGACGCTTTCAGGGCCGCTGAAGGTGCATACCCGTTTTGGGAGCCACACGAGGGAGACGAGCGCGTCTTCCTCGAGGCTCTCGTCCAGGCGAGACTCACGCGCTTCAGCACCAAGGGTGGCGCGCAGCCGTCCCGACGTCCTGCCACCAGCTCAGCTGCGTGTGTTCAGGGTCTTATCTGAGGTCCAGGAGCACGAGTCGCGCCAGGGTGTCTTACTTTGCCCTCGGCCTCTTGGCCGCCTACAGAAAGTCAGGTAAGTTGGTGCGATTTGAGAAAGCGGCCCGAGGCCTCAAATCGCATGAGGTTGCCCGACTGCCGGCCCCGAAAACACTCCAGATAGTTTCCCCTGTTTTGCCGTTAGGGCCGTGGCGTCGGTGATCCCGAGTTGCCGAAGGCCCCAGGGGGTCTTCGCGTGCCCTCGGCAGATGTCTATTGGAAAAAAAGCAAGCAACATTGGACATTCGAACAGGTGCGAAAGCGCGCGGGCGCGCTTTCTTTGGGGCAGCGACGCCAGGAAGAGCGAGGAGGCAAGGATTTCGCGAGTGGGGCGGCAACTCAAATCTTAAGAGAAACCTGAGCCTGTCTGTGCTGCCGCCACCGCCGCCGTTGGCCGTCGTCGACGTCGTCGTCGTTGCCATCGCGGACGCCCCGGCCCCCCGAGCCGTCTTCGCGCGGAGGCGAGGAGGCGCGCTGGGGAAGCAGGCGCCCCCCCAGGGCCGCCCCTCTCGAGCCGAAGTGTCGACGGACCCGGCGAACTCGGGCGGGCGAGGCTCTCTTCATGGCCGCCCGCGGGGGGTCGCGGACGTGCTGGACGAGCCAGCGGGGCCCCGCAAGTCGTGCCAAGTTTATCGGACTGTCTGTAGTGACACGCCAGGTGCAGAGCCCCGCTCCGCGCGGGTCGAGCGGTGAGTCCAGTCTGTCGCAATGGGTGAGAGTCTGCTCTGATGTCGCACGGGGGCAGTCCAGGTATGGAATACCTCTTTGCTGTGGTGCTAAGTTGTCGTCTTTGGGGCGTGGCTGTCCGTCGGGTCCAATGGCCCAGGGCCCCAAAGCTGGTGAGTTTCAGTTTGTGGGTACGAGAACGATGACGGTGACTGCTGGGGCAGTCTCCCGGAACGTTGTCACCACTTCGCCGGGGGGACCTCGTCGGCCAGGTCAGCTTGCACCCAAGACAGGTGCTTTTCGTTTGAAACGGTTGGTATGCCACGCTTGCCAGAGGATTCCCGCAGAGGGCCAACTTGGACTACCCCTCAGGCACCACGACTGGCAGGGGGCCCGAGCTTTGGCTGAGGAGGCCAACGGTGCGGCCAGTAATTTGTCGGTTTGGCATGCTTGGGCCCTCATGAACCAGGCTTGGAGGATGTTTCCGCATGTCATGGATGCTGAGCTCGCAAGCGCATTGGGGGTTACGAGTACGCACAAGGGCCTCAAGGGGCGACCGCTGCGCGCCAAGTGCGTCTCGGTGTTCCCCGCTCCCAGGAAAACCAGGCAATGATTTGGTTAAGTGGGAAGGTTGGGTTTAGCCCCAGCGGATTTCATTGCACGAAGAGGAACATCTGGATCCGCACCGGCGACCTGGTGGACCATGCCGAGCTTGCGTCGTGCAGGGGCCTGACACAGAGGCTGCAGCAACCGCTTGAAGGCGAGGGCCAGTCAGTGCGCCTCGATCTGACCGCTCGCGCTGCTAGAGATCTGTTGGCTACGCGACATCAAGACAGCTAGATAAACTCACGATGGATCGATCGTTGCAGGCAGGCGCTCGACGATTGGAATGCTGATTCTTCTGAGGCTCGAGCTAGTCCCAACAACAAAGCTCAGGTGAGATGGAGCCAGTGGCAAGCCGAATCTCTAGCGGGGTCGGCGAGGCGCATGCACAAACTCACCCGATACAGCGCCAGATGGATGCCCAGTCGTGTCAGTTGTTTGAGAGTCCGGCGCCAGTCGACATAAGACGTGCCAGCAGGTCTGTCGGCCCGCACACGGCACAGTCCCTGGATGGGGTGCCCGTGCGACAGTATGCTTTGCCCGACGCATATCTCATGCTTCCTTCCTACCGCCACCCGGCCCCCGCAATTCTAGTTGTTCCTCCTCCCTTTCCTCCTCCTCCGCGACCGCCCCCTCCCCGTCCTGTCTCACCGCGGTCGTCGCATGCTTCCCAGGGCAGGTCCAAGGGAGGGGGTTTCGCGAGGTCTCGGCATCGTTCGGACGTGTGCATTTTTTCTCGGCGAGAACCATCGAGGACCATCCTGGAGCATCGAGCAACAAAAAGAACACGCACGAAACCGAACAATGCACGGGAAATGGACGTCCGAGCGACGGCACGAGGTCGCAGTGAAGGGCAAGAGTCTTACGGGGAACGCGCCCTGGAGGTTTTTTCGCCGGTGTCGGCCCTGTTGGGGGCCCTCTCCTGGCCCCGGCGCCGCCCGAGAACGCTTCGGGACGAACCCCCCCCCCCCCCCCGACTTTCGGGGAAGGCCCCGGAGTCCGGTGAGCCGTTTCCTTCGGTCGGGGGCGGCAGAGGGGGGGGTGAGGACTAACGGGGGGTGGATATCATGGCGGGGCCACGAGATTTCCCGAGCTCTCGTGGCGCCGCTTCTTGTTTCCTGACGTCCCTGGCCCCCCTCGCTGGCCCGCGCATATGCCGCCAGTCATGATTTGCACCCCCCCCCTTCTTGGACACCCCCCCTCTTGGCCGCTCCCGATTCGGGGCCCTCTCTTTCATGCTGAGTGTTACTTCCCACCAAACCACCCGAACCCATCCCGAAGGCCCCAATGTTCCTTCCATTCCCAGCGGGGTGGGCGCTGGGGAACATTTTGGAAGCCACAACTCATGCAGAACCCGCTTCCCCCAACCCCAAATAGGGGTCTTGGGGTTAGGTTGGGGTGGTCTGGTAAGTGGTCAAAGTGGCGGCGGTTGCAGCGATCGGTGCCATCGCCGCGGTTGTCTTTCTCATCGCGATGAGTTCGTTGTCGTCGCCGTCGCCGACCTTGGACCTTAGAACCCAGATCTCTCATCCCTCCTGCCGCCAACCTCCCTCCTCCCCCCACCCCAGTTCTCCCTCACTCTTCCCCCTCTCGTCTCAAACCCTCACCCCCTCCTCCCCGCTCTCCTTGCTCGCCTCTCCCTCCCAATTGTCTTCCCCCATCCTCGGTGGTCCCTTCTCTCCGTCCCTTTCTTCGTTGCCGTCGCCATCGTCGTCGTCGTCGAAGACGTTGTGGTCACCGCCATCGTCAAATATGTCATTGTCGTCGTCGTCGTAGTAGTCATTGCCATCGTCCCAATGTTGTTGTTGTTGTTGTTGTTGTTGTTGTTGTTGTTGTTGTTGCCGCTATGGTCGTCGCCGAAGCCGTCGTCGAATTCATCGCCGTCGCCGCGCCGTCGTTGTCGTCGCCGCCGCCGCCGCCGCCGCCGCCGCCGCCGCCGTCGTCGTCGTCGTCGTCGTCGTCGTCGTCGTCGTCGTCGTCGTCGTCGTCGTCGTCGTCGTCGTTGTCGTCGTCGTCGTCGTCGTCGTCGTCGTCGCCATCGCCTCCGCCACCCGCTCTGGCCGCGCGCGTCGGCGGCGCTGACGACCCCAGGCGCAGGCCCCAGCCGCCACCGGGCCGCCCGCCTACGGCAAGGCGAGCACGGCGCCGACGGCATCGGCCGCGCCGGTCGCATCTGCCCAGGGGGGGTTCGGCGACGGCGACGTATGGAGAAAATGCTCTTTTCGGCCTCGGGGGCCCTCGCTGGGCCCTGGGACCGTGAAGCAACGGTTCGCGATGAAAAAACGTCCCTGGGGAAGGTGTTGGGATTGACTTGGATTCCGTGGCGAAAGTCAACCCACGAGATCGGATACCAGGGAAATAGCCCAGGGGCGGGCACTACACGCAATTATTCGCAGGGAACCTGGCCAAAAACATGGACCATCAGCGCCTCTGGGTACATGGTGTTGCTCGCCCCTGTCGTCTCCTCCGAGGAGGGATCGTCATCGTTAGGGCGCGCATCTTTCCGGGGTGCGCGCGCATCTAACATGTGATGCGTGTTGCGCGCGTTACGCAGTTTCCAGGCGGAAGAAGGCCAATTCGTTTGCATCCATTATTGAAACCAGTATGCCCGCGCGCCCGCCCTCGTTTTTCCCAACCATCCTATGGTGTTGGGTCCTCGTTTTGAAGAGACGGCGCCCCGCGTTCCTTCCTTCCCGCCCTCTTCCCCCTCCTCCCTCCTCTTCCCTCCCTGCGTTTCACCCACCCAGTACAGCGTTTCGTGGCCCCAGAAGGAGCTCCATCGAAGTCGCCAGTGGCAGGGTTCGCATGGCGGCCTCGGGCCACTTCGGCACACCCCTCACGAGGATGGTGGCCCCGTAGGAGCTCCACCGAAGGCGCCAGTGGCAGGGTTCGCATGGCGGCCTCGGGCCATCTCGGCACACCCCTCACACGAGGATCGTGGCCCCATAGGGAGCTCCACCAAAGGCGCCAGTGGCACGGTTCGCATGGCGGCCTCGGGCCATTGCGGCACACCCATCACGAAGATCTTGGCCTCATAGGGAGCTCCACCGAAGGCGCCAGTGGCAGGGTTCGCATGGCGGCCTCGGGCCGTTTCGGCACGCCCCTCACGAGGATCGTGGCCCCATGAGGAGCTCCACCGAAGGCGCCAGTGGCAGGGTTCGCGTGGCGGCCTCGGGCCATCTCGGCACACCCCTCACGAGGATCGTGGCCCCATAGGGAGCTCCACCAAAGGCGCCAGTGGCACGGTTCGCATGGCGGCCTCGGGCCATCTCGGCACACCCATCAAGAGGATCGTGGCCCCGTAGTGGGCTCCACCGAAGGCGCCAGTGGCAGGGTTCGCATGGCGGCCTCGGGCCATTTTGGCACACCCCTCAAGAGGGTCGTGGCCCCGTAGTGAGCTCCACCGAAGGCCCCAGTGGAAGGGTTCGCATGGCGGCCTCGGTCCATTTCGGCACCCCCCTCACGAGGATCGTGGCCCCATGGGGAGCTCCACCGACGGCGCCTGTGGCAGGGTTCGCGTGGCGGCCTCGGGCCATTTCGGCACGCCCCTCACGAGGATCGTAACCCCATCGGAGCTTCACCGAAGGCGCCAGTGGCAGTCCCCCTCATGGCTCTCAGACGCCTTTCCTGCTTCTGCTCCTTGGTCAGGGGGACGCCGTCCTCGTCGTCGTCGGCGCCCGCGAAGACGGCCACGAACGTGTCCCTGAGCATGTCGGGCTCCGGCGGGAAGCCGTGTGGCCACATATGGAACGCGGGCGAAGATGGTATTCACAATTGCGGTATTCACAACTGCGTATGTATGGGTCCTTCGCCAGGCTAATCAGGGACAGGCATTTGCACATAGGGACGGGGGGGGAGGGGGGCGCGGGGAATGAGGACCCGTCGATCGGTCGATCGGAGGATGATCGATCGACCGATCGGTAAAGAAGGCGAGTTCGTGGCGTTCCTCCAGTCCCCGCGGACCTTGGTTTTGATTTTGTGGTGCTTCTCGTTTGCCATATGCGCGCGTTGCGATCAGCTGTTGCCTTTGGATTGTCTGCGCGTTGATTTTGGCTGTTTTCTTTCTGGTGGCTTCCCTCGCGCGCCTCAGGGCACATGCTGTGTCTGTCGCTTTTCCTCGAGGTGCGCCCAGTGGCAACGAAGCGCATGGAGTCGGCTGGGTGCGCAACAGGGTCGGTTCGCTCCCGCGCGAACGCGAATCCATTGAATGTGTATCGACTTTATTTGGTACCGAAATATATGCGGCCATAGTTTACGCGGGATTGAATTGGCGCTCCATTTTGTCTGGCACGCAGGCCACACCGGATTCTACGCGCGCCGCGCGCGCCGAAACTCGCAGGCGGGGACACCGCGAAAACAAAACGATCATCCAGCCAGCAGGGATCGTGGCTTTTTCCGAAGTATTGTTGGAGCGTTTCCGATGTATGTTTGTCAGTTATTGTCATTTTTTTTTTAGAAAAAAAAAAGAATGATAATTTTTAAAAAGAAACAAACACACATACATATATATGTATACATATATATATATATATATGTAAACAAATTGATGTCACAGGTGTCCTGTCAGAGGACATGCCCGACATAACATTGTCGCCGTTTTCGTCGTTTCGCTTCGTCGTCGCCGCCGTTTTCGCCGTCGTGGTCAGTCACCCTCGTAGCCCAGGCGTGTGAAATACGCCCTTGCACCTGCCAGCCTGTGCCTATATATATATATATATACTATGTACTTGAGGGGCGCCCTTTCCTTTGCTGCCCACCACCACTACATCCTTGTCGCCGCCGTCGTCCCGGTCGCATCTGGTCGCCCCCGTCCTCGTCGTTGTCGTCGACGACATGATTTTTGCCTTCGTCGTCACCGTCGCCTTTGTTGTTGCAGCCGTCGTTGTCTTCCTGTTTTCCGCCATGCCTGCGACTGCACCCCAGTCTTCAGGGAGACCAGGAGCGATGAGGAGGTGGTGGGGCCAGCAGGTCCTCCCCTACGGTTTTGCCCAGCGGACGAGGGTGTGTGATGATGAGGTGGAGGAGGAGGAGGAGGAGGAGGATAATGGACAATGCAGGAGGAGGAGAAGGAAAAGCAAGAGGAGGAGGAGGAGGAGGAGGAGGAGGAGGACGAACCGTAGGACTTGGACGACGATGATTCTTGCGGCGGCGACGACCACGAACACAAGGACGAAGAAGGAGAGAAGCAGGGAAACGACGACGGGAATGTCACGCAGAGTAAGAAGACGAGGAGTAGGAATTCTAGACGCCTCGCGTATCCCCACCAGCCCGTCCAGAAACGACGCCCAGGCGAGTAGAGGGTCGTCCTGAGGGGCTTTTCGGCGTCTTGGGTGCCTCGGGGGGGCCTCTGTGGGCCGTTCGTTCGGGATCCTCTTTGGGGCCTCCTGGGGGCCTCTTGGGGCCTCTTGGGGCCATCTTGGGGCCTCTGGGAGCACCTTGGGTGCCTCTGGGGGGCCTCTTGGGGGGCCTCTTGGGGCCATCTTGGGGCATTCTGCGGCCTCTTGGGGCATCCTGGGGGCCTCTTGCGGCCATCGTGGAGGAAATCGATCAAAGAAAAGGTCGATCAAAGAAAAGGGGAGCCTTAATCAGCGTTGCCCCCTCAAAAGGCCAAAATGGGGCCCAAACCATAGTAAAATCAATGATTTTGGCTTCCTCGCCGAGGCCGTTTTGGACGCTCTGACCGCTCCCCGCCCCCCCTGTCCAGGTCAATGGGGAGGGGGTAGGGGGAGGGGTAAACCCCTCCCCGAAGGGGAAGAAGGAGGGGTGGAAGAGGAAACGCTCTAAACCACCGACGCCCAGAGGGCTGGTGGGATATCATGATCATGGAGATAATAAGTGGGCCCGTGCTTCAAATTGTTCACGGGCCATCACGCTTATACCACACCGCCAGTTCTGCCCCCGCACCTGTATCGAACCCGTTGCACGGGGGTATTTGCCCAGGCAAAGTACATCCCCACGGGTTTCTCTGCCAACGCCTCAGGGGTTCTCAGTTTGTGCAGAACGGTGTGTGACTTTGTCCCCATTTTTCTTGAACATGTTCCACTGGTTTCTTGAGGATGCTCCCATTTGTCTTCGTGACTCGTGTTGGCATGTGCTTCGCGTGACCGTTGGACAAGATGTCGCTTGCCAATGCGCCTTCGTTTATCGCCACGTGCTTTGGCGTGCTTGACCTGGCGTTTGGCTTTTTTCTGCGTGTATCCGCTTGCTGGCATACTACTTCATCACGATTCTTGAGTCTGCTTGCCCGCCACTTGTCTTGGTTTGGCGGCCCCTTCAGTTAGGCTTGAGCCAGCCTCTGCCGTGCTCCCAGCTTGCCTGTCGCTTGCCAGGCGCTTCCAGTGTAGCTTGCCAGTTGTTTCCTCCTTTCTTTGAAGGCCAAAGCAGCAGGTTCTCAGAGCCTGGCTTGACATCTTCTGGCAAGTTTGGTGTGCACGAAGGAGTCCCAGCATACAACCAGACAAAGTGTATCTTTGCATTACGCGTGGTGTTTTCGCACAGTCGGAAACAGAGGTGTCGTTCGTGACAGCGTCGGCCTGCCCCGTGTGGTTGGTTGTGGCAGTTCCTGAAGAGGATCGCCAACCACACGCCGAAACGCTGGAGACGGACTGGATCACGGGTGCCCGAAAGAGTGGGCGTACTCAGTCTTAGACCAGAAAGGTGACCAAAGGAAGTTGCGCAGTCAAATGCTTCTCGGCGACCCTGGCGCGGCATAGCCGTTGCCAGGCGAGCCTGAGGCGGGTGTACAAAGAATGCCTTGTATGTTCCAATAACATGGATATGCGTGGCAAGTGACTGGTTATCAACCGAAAGTCTTTCCAGGAACTCGTCTTCGGTGGTGCGGCCTTTTTCCCAACAGTCAGAGAGGTAGCAGTGGTGGCTTTACCAAACACGGGACTTCGCAGGTGCGCTCTGATTATCCACGAGCGCCTAACGCAGGGGCCGGGTGGCTCACACCCTTGGGCCGTGGTTCCTTTCCGCTCATGGCAAAGGGGGCAATCGCCCTGGTTAGCTGCGGTTGCCGGCGGTGTCACGAAAGAGGGGGCAGTTGTTTCCTCCCTTCTTCCAAGGCCAACACAGCAGGTTCTCAGAGCCTGGCTTGACATCTTCTGGCAAGTTTGGTGTGTACGAAGGAGTCCCAGCATACAACCCGACAAAGTGTATCTTTGCATTCAAGAGGTACGCGTAGCGTTCTCGCACCGTCGGAAACAGGTGTCGCTCGTGACAGCGTCGGCCTGCCCCGTGTGGTTGGTTGTGGCAGTTCCTGAAGAGGATCGCCAACCACACGCCGAAACGCTGGATGCGGACTGGGCCAGGGGTGCCCGAAAGAGTCGGTATACTCAGTCTTAGACCAGAAAAAGGTGACCAAAGGAAATTGCGCAGTCAACTACTTCTCGGCGACCCTGGCGCGGCATAGCCGTTGCCAGGCGAGCCTGAGGTGGGTGTACAAATAATGCCTCGCATGTTACAATAATATGGATATGCTTGGCAAGTGGTTTTGCCTCCATGTATGTAACTTGTAGTTTACTGTAGCATCACCCTTGCTTGCAGGTGAGTTGACAAACGGCTGGTGTATTGTACCGTGGCTTTTGCCTTTTTGTGTGCTGTTCAAACTTTGCCCTCAGTTGCCATCGCGCTGGGGTGGGGCAGATATCTAGGTAAAGCCTCACCGGTTGCGTTCAATATGTTTAGGGGAACCCATTTGGTAGCGGGAGCTCGTCTGTTCAAGGATGGCTCGTGTGGCGTCCACCGTTTGTCTGTTTATTGACCTTTTCGGCTGTGCGATGCCAACATCGCTGCGTTGCAGTACGATGGTCTCTCATTGTTGCCTCACTCTCTCTCCATTTGTTGTTGCTGGCATCGTTTTTTTTCCGCCTCCTCATGCCCCCCACGTTGCGCGTGACATTTCCATAGAATCATCCTTAGCAGCCTTCCAGGGGAACCGGGCACGAGCTAGCTTTCCCATTGATTTTGTGATGGATCGGGATGCGAATGGATGGGGGAACATGTTGGGGGCATCCTGGAGGCTTCGTCTCGTGTGTCGGCCTGCGAAGAGCACGACACCGCATACTCCTACTCCTCCCGGTCCTCGGTTTCCTTGCCCTGCTCCTCCGTCCCCTTCTTATTTTTTCTTCGTAGCATTCGGCCGCAGCCATGTGAGTTCATTCGGTCTCCATACCGAGCTCCGGAAAGTCGTCGCGATCGCCACCTCATCCTTGCCGCCCTCCTCCTGGCCCTGCACGTATTCCTCCTTCTCCTGGTTCTCCTCACCGTTCTTTCCCCGCAGCTTTGCATCAGGAGGATGAGGGGAGGGATCAGTAAGATGAGGGGACCACGGCAAGGAGGAGCATGTTGAGATGTAGTGCCGCATCTTCCCTTTCAGGTCATAGAGGGCATGCCCACACCCTGGCCGCTGCCATCGTCGACGCAGCAGCTTGGCTCCACCACCAAGTCCGTGGCGGCAGCCAACAAGGCCTTGCTTCCTGCACCCCTGCGCTCCGACATCCGCCGCCGCCCCGCCAGTTCTGTGCCTTCTCGACGACGATCTGGTCCTGATGCTCGCTGTTGCCCTGCCAACCCTCCATTCTCCCCTTCTGGCCTTCCCATCTCAGACCTTCTCCTCTCCTCGGTTCCTCCTCCCAGTCCGCGTCCTCGCCCTCCTCGTCGTGCGCGGCCCTCGCTCCCGTGCAAGCCCCCCTCCCTCCCCTTCTCTGTCCGCCCCCCACCCCCCTGCGAGGCCGTGCAGCAGGGATCCCTCGGCAGCGGCCAGGTTCCCCTGGGCGATCCCATGCCGGCTCACGAGCTGTCCCACGTGCAGGGCGTGCTGAGCATGCTGCTAGAGGCCAGCGCGCAGGACGCGCGTCGGCACCCGCCTGCTCCTGCCTCTCCTGAGGCAGGCCGCTCCTTCTCGCTGCTTCTCCCTCCCCTCGGCGTCCTCCACGTCCAGCTTCCTTCCCTCCCTTCTGCCGCACCTCCTGTTCCTCCCGCGCCCGTGTCCCTCTTCTCATCTCTCCTTCCCTCCCTCCCTCCTTCCCTCCTCGCCATCCTTTCCCTCTCCCGTCGCCCCAGTTCCCCCAGAGCTTTTCCTGTCCCTCGTGGTGTTGTTGCAGTTCCTGCCTCTGATCCTGTCGTTTCTCATCACCGTCGTCCTCCCCCATCTTCTCGTCCTCATCATCCTCACCCCCGCCCTCACCCGCGTCCTCACCCCCATTGTCATTATCATCTGCATCCTCATCGTCTCCCATGAGGGAGCGAGCCGCATGGCTTCGGTCTCAGCTGTAGGTGTACTACACGTCCAGCTCGAGGTCAGCGAGAAGCTCCAGGTGTACTACACGCCCAGGAGGTAATCGTTCTTCGCTCAGCGACAAGCTCGAGGTCAGGTGACTTGGCATCGTCGCCCTAATTCTCCTCGTCCACGTCCTCATCCTCATCATCGTCCAGGGGCGATCTCGTCTTCGCCTTCAATGGTTTCTCATCCTCAGATTTCATCCTGGCGGTTGTTTTGACTGTCCAGCTTACTGATACAAGCCAGAGAGAAGCGGGCAGGGAAGGCTCTCGCACTGTTAGCGGTGTGGAGGCAGTCATCATCTCATTCAACCCGGGATGCCATCCGTTCCGGCTGCCACCTCCGCCAGTTGATGACAGCACCGGGCAGCGCAGGACGGCAACGCCAAGAAGCGCGAGGACATCGCCAAGAGACTGGAGATTCTATACTCCAGATTGTCGAGCGGTCAGATGAAGAACTCAACGTCTCAGAAGGTGTCGCTGCTAAGCTCCAGGGAGTAGGATTGGAGGGTGGGAGTCAGCAGGTATGAAGAGCTGGACGATGCAACCTTCGGCAGTTCAAAGCATTAGCGCGTGGACTTGCACGGCAAGTGGTGTGGCACTGTTGAGTGGCCGAGGGCATCCTCGATAATGATCAACTATTTTGTCAAGCATCTACGCTTTCAATCTCGATTGATGCGAATGTGTAAGTCAATGCAAATGCATGTATCCAACGGTTGTTATGGTAGTTGCAGTGATGTCGGTAGTGCTTGCTTGTGGTTGTAGTCGTAGTGGCGTTAGTTGTGCAAATTTAGTTGTCGTTTTCCCTGCTGCCGTTGGTAGGGCGTATGGGGTAGTGTAATACGCGGTAGCAGGGGCACCGACAGTAAATGCAGTAGTTGCTTGAAAAAAGGAACAGCAGAGGTAGGAAGTCACAGTAGCAGCTTCAGTAGAACTGGAAGCAGTTGCAGCAGTGTCAGTGGTAGTTGCCGTGCGCCCCGTTCTAGTTTGTGTATGTTTGTGCATTCGCATTTGATGTGGACAAGTGTGGTAGTACTAGGAGTACTAGTAGTATTAGTAGTAGGAACAGCAGAGGTAGGAAGTCACAGTAGCAGCTTCAGTAGAACTGGAAGCAGTTGCAGCAGTGTCAGTGGTAGTTGCCGTGCGCCCCGTTCTAGTTTGTGTATGTTTGTGCATTCGCATTTGATGTGGACAAGTGTGGTAGTACTAGGAGTACTAGTAGTATTAGTAGTAGTTGTTAAAATAGCAGTACAAGTAGAAGTAGAAGTAGTAGTAGTAGCAGTAGTAGTCGTAGTCGTAAAAGTAGTCGTCGTCGTAGTAGGAGTAGTAGTCGTCGCCGTAGTAGTAATAATAATAGTAATAGTAGTAGTAGTAGTAGTAGTAGTAGTAGTAGTAGTAGTAGTAGTAGTAGTAGTAGTAGTAGTAGTAGTGGCAGTATAAGTAGCAGTATTCGGAGTATTCGTAGTAGTAGTTGTAGTGGTAGTGGTAGTGGTAGAGGTAGTAGTAGTAGTAGTAGTAGTAGTAGTAGTAGTAGTCGCAGCAGTAGTAGCAATAGTAGTAGAAGT